TCTCTGTGAAGAATGCTGGCAAACCCAATGCAGGAAACATTTTAAATGGCATGCCCACTTAGAGGCTGTTATTTGCTTTACACAAAAAACCAAAAACTCAAAAATCATGCTTCCTTGAAGAATGACTTCTCTAATTCTCTCTCAAGTGACTGTGCATACATCATTAATGACCAGACAGAAAAGCTCCCCCCACAGCTTCAGCTGGGGGTAAGTAGATGAGCAGGCAGAGAAGATAAAATTAAAGTGCCAGCCAGCAAACTTATGTTTACTGAAAATCTGACAGAGTTGCTGATATGGTCCTTGTGAAAAATAGAGATGTCTTTCCATTGATACATTGATATAAAAACATCAATTCGCATTCCACTTCATTAGAAAGAAATGGAATTCCATTGCACTTGAGAGTGAGCCTTAACCTTAATTTCTCTAGAAAGTTCTTTAGCACCTAAAATCAAGTAGAGACTGAGCTCTGGGTCGAATCTGGCTATGAACAAATGGGTAATTTACTCCCTCTGAGGCTGGCTTACATTTTTGTAGCAGACTATGAGAACGCAACATTATTATTAAAGGAATGATGTTGTCATGGTGGAAATTCAGACATCATAGAGAACTGATGGGAGATATTTTGGACTAGGTCTGGAAGCAAAAGGGATACTTAGGGAAGTACTTCACATGATTCCAGGTCAGAGAATTAAATCCTGCTGTCCATGATATCAGTGGAGTAATTCTTTCTGTGCTACAACCCGAGGCCCTCTCTTTGGCACTATGCCAAGCTAAAGTCAAAGGCAAAAATATAGTATGTTGGCCATGCAAAATAGGATGCTTAGCATCCACACAAAAAAACAAGACTTCATGTACCTTCAGCTGTTCCTGCTGAAACAGGTGGTAAGAAGACAAAAGGCTCGCTTCTGAGTGGGAGAATGTCTTGGAAAGTTTCCAGCTGTCATTCTTGAACCCAAGCCATCCGCCATCTTCAAAAGAGAGAAAAGGGTGCAGCTAAAGAATTCTGCATGATCGTATAGGATTTCAAAGTAACACCCCCCAGGCAGAGGTAGAGTAGAGCTGGAGTATCGGGGTGGCTTGGCTGATTGCAACTCCTTAGTTATTGTGGAATCTCATATTCCAGTCTCAAAGATCTGTGCTCTCCATTGAGCCCTTGAGCTAGTAGCCAAGAGCTGGGAATGTTAATAGGCTCTGTGACTTATTCACCAGGCAGAAGAACTCTTCCTAAATCAGTGTGGGCTTGTTTCTCAAAATACGAAGTACAAGATTGGGAAAGTGGAGAAAAGGATGTTGAAACTGCATATTTTGTTAGACCTGACTCTCTGTCCTGTATCCTACTTTTTAGTGATTTTTTTTTTTTACCAAATAAAAATCAAAGCTGATGAGTTGAAAATGAGGTCCCTATTTCCAGATGAAAGGAACTTCCTTGAATTTCTTCCTTTCTTACACTTTCCAATAGTCTAGCTTCTATTTTTTCTCCTCGTGATTGTTGTAATGAGTTTGGTTGGTTTGGGTAGAGCTGAACCTCCTTTTTGATCAAGGAGAAAGGAGAACAGATGTAATCTTCTTATTTTGATGGTTCCTGGGTGTATCCTGCAGTGACTGTGGCCACAGATATGCAAACTCTTCCTTCTTGGTGTGCTATTTTCTCTCATTGATAAACTAAGTTCTTGGAAAGACTGGGGTGCTAAAGATGGCTTAACATTTCAGTATATTGTTTAGGGCAAATAAGAAATCACTAATTATAGGCTGTGGTTTGTGGAATGGTGCAAAAAGTTTATTTGTGTATTATTTTCTTTTGACCTATAGCCTAAATTCTGTGAAGATAATGCTGAGATTTTTGAGATTAGAGGGAATGAGTCCCCTAAATGCCTTACTGCTCAGCATCAGTATTCCAGAGGTTAACCCACATGGATCTGTTGGATTTCTTTGACCAGAAAAGTTGATAACCTTGTTATTTATTTGAGGTACCACTTGCAACGCCGAATTTGCCTCTTTTACACCATCTTCCTAATGACTTCTAGGGAATGAAGTTGACAGGGTTCTGGGGACTTGATCACCAGTCAACTTTACTCTCTAAGTGTCATAGTTCTCAGCAAACCCATCTCAGTAGCAAGACCCAAGAAAGAAGATACCAGATAGTATCTCTACCATCTGGTCCAAGGAGCTCCAGCTCCTACCCTTCTCCCTTCCAACTACTTGCTTTCCCTATGAAACTAATTAGGGTTAGGATTTACTGACACTCCTCTCTCCTTCAGACCCCACAGAGTCAGTGCATACATTTAATATATATTTGCCTGAATTCCTAGAGGGCCTCCATCCCTGCTTCCTTTCCTGCATTCTTCAGTCTGCTGCCCATACTTTAGGCACCACAGCTATTATATGAATATGACCCTTTGGGTTTCTTAGTTAAATTTCTCTTATTTTATCTCAGGATAATGTTGAAATTTTTTTTTAAGCCAAAAAAAAAAAGAACCTTTATGGACTATTCTCTGCCATCTTACCTTTTACCATCCTCCAATCCCATTCCTAAACCAGTACAGCACCCATCCCTCACTTGAGAGTCTAATTTTTCTCCCTCCTCCCTGGAATATTCTCTCTAAAACCACCTCCTCTTATTTGTATAGTTTCTATTTATCCTTTAGGCCCTTCATCTTGAAGCCAAACATATTTGACTCCCATGGATCAGATTTGAAGTAGGTGTTAGTTCCTTCGGGTGCTCAGTAATCTTTGGCCTTGTTTCTGACATAGCATTATTTCCCTGTGTTTATATTTTGGGTTCAATGGCCTCTTTGCCCATGAATGTTAACTCTTGGAGACAGGGACTGTGTTTTAGGGACTCATCTTTTTAACTATGGGACTTGATCAAGAGAATAGGGGCTTGACAAATATGAGATGAATTAATGCTGGGCCTATATAAATATAAGCTAAGCTCTTCAGTTCCCCACTTTCTCTTTCCTATCCTCATTTTTATTTTATTTTAATGGTTTTTTATTAGTGCATTATAATTATACACACTAAGCTGGGCACAGTGGCAAATACCTATAATCCCAGCTGCTTGGGAGGCTGAGGTAGGAGGATCACAAGTGCAAAGCCAGCCTCAGCAACTTAGCAAGGCCCTAAGCAACTTAGTAAGACCCTGTGTCTAATTAAAAAGTAAATAAGGGCTGGGGACGTAGCTCAGTGGTTAAGTATCCCTGAGTTCAATTCCTGGTACCAAAAAAAAAAA